CGCATAAACACATTTCATTACACCAAATACACAAAATAATGTTCTTTTTAGCAACATCATATGACCCCCTTTAAATATATTGTAGTAATATTGTTATTTTTGCTTTTAAATTTAGGACAAAACTTTTAGATTTAAATTAATGTATCCTATTTTTTGTACTTCACTGTATTTTCTAATGTTTTTTGTTTTTGTATATCTGTCATTCTTTGTGGATGTGTGTTTTGTTGAGGAGATGGTGATGTTCCAGAGAGCTTGCGAAGAATAGAGAAATTTCTGAATACTCAGATTGAGTTCCATGAGCTGGACCTTCTAGATAAAACTGAACTGGAGAAAATATTCAAAAAGGTACAAATTAACATGCACTGTTTATATCCATTACTTGCTCTTATAATGAAATCTAATCCTCATATTATTGTTCTACGTTGAGCCACAACATGTCTCCTGTTTTCTTCAAATTGTAATACATGCATATTTATTTATATATATATATATAATATTATTATTAATCATACATATATTAATATACATGCTTTTTTATTATTAGTTAGCCATAACATCTACTTTTTATTTTAGATTATTTATATTTTCATATATTCTATTATGTATATTTTTATATAGGTTTTTATTATTCAACCACAACATGTCTGCTGTTTTTTATTTTATTATTTAAAGTTTTATACTTTTCATTTGTTGTTTTTATAATTTATAATTTTCATATTTCATTTATTTTAATACAGCCACATTATGTCTGCTGGGTTTTTTTCCTTTATATATGTATATATACATTTTCTTCACAAAAACTGACTCAAAGCCTGATTTCTGAACCGACCTGGTGAAATGTGTAATAGCGCCTTTTAGTGGTTAATGGAGTTGATTGTTTGCTCTCTGCTCTCTGTGTCCCAGCACTCCTTCTATGCAGTGATGCACTTTGCAGGACTGAAAGCTGTGGGTGAATCAGTAGAACAGCCTTTACGGTACTACAGAGTCAATCTCACAGGAACCATCAATCTGCTGGAGGTAAGAAATGTGTCTAAATTGTAAAAATGTTTTTGCATGGATTGTCCTTATGCATGAATAATTTTTATGCATGGAGTATCTATATGAATCTTTGAGATGATTCTTGAAATGCAGATTCAGTACAGTTCGTAGTCTGTGTGTATGTGTGTTAGTGATTTTGGCTCTTAAGGAATGCCTTACTGTTTGTGGCCCTGTGTATGTGTCTGAATCAGGTGATGCAGTCTCATGGAGTGCGTAATCTGGTATTCAGCAGCTCCGCCACCGTTTATGGAGACCCCCAGAAACTCCCCATTGATGAGCAGCATCCAGTGGGTGGCTGCACAAACCCCTATGGCAAGACCAAGTACTTCATAGAGGAAATGATCAGGGACCAATGCACAGCAGAGAAGGTAGCTGACCGCTCTCTTATGACACTGTTGACTCTGTTTGGCAGGTTTGTGACTGATAAAATATCTTGCAGGACTGGAATGCTGTGCTGCTCAGGTACTTCAATCCCATTGGTGCTCACATCTCAGGACAGATTGGTGAAGATCCACAGGGAATCCCAAACAACCTTCTGCCTTATGTTGCCCAGGTATCCCATCTGACCGCGCGCATATATGTGTGTGTGTGTGTGTGTGTCTGTGTCTGTGTATTGTAATGGATGTTGTTCTTTCTCACTGTGTATGGCAGGTGGCTATTGGCAGACGAAAACATCTGAATGTGTTTGGAAATGACTACAGCACGCCTGATGGAACAGGTGATGAGAGATGGGTTTCAGCATGCTGTTTCTGCCATAACTCTCTTATTTACTTTTTATTTATTTTTCATTTTATCTGTTCAATTTGTTTTCATTTTTGTTCGTTTTCTTTATTGTTAGTTTAAGTTGTTATTGTTAACTAGAACTATTAAACATTGTTTTGGTTAATTGAAACAAAGCTGAAATAAAATATAAACTTAAAAAAAAAAGATGAAAAACTCTACAAATTGGAAAATTGGTGAGTAATGTTGCTAACTGAAATAAGTTTAAGTTAAAGTACCAAACTTGCTAAGATTAAAGACTAAAGACTAAAACTGAGATGAAAATAAATCCAAGCTAAATAGAAATATTAAAAACTAAAAATAAATAAAAACTAAAAAAAATTATATTAAGGCCCAATCCCAATTCTATTTTATACCCCTTCCCCTATCCCTCCGCCTACCCCTTCCCCTTGCCCCTTGAAACAGAATGTCAAGCGGTAGGGCTGAAAATATTCCCCTAAGACACGGGACACCACTACTACACAGTTGCACGTCATCATACGTCGTCAAAGAAAATGCACCGATGTTTATCACAAACTCAGACGTGCGGTAAAAGATAAGTTACCTGCCACCGGACTAGTATTTATGTTGTCAAATCAGCGGGTATGAATAAAATATGTTGTGGAACTATCGTGCAGTCAATAACATTAGCAAACTTTTATCATAGCGATTTTTTACAAATGTTTTTTCAGAGAACATAACCGTACATATGAACACAAGATTGAATGCAACATAAAACAAATGATTATTTGTTATTAAAATCCTTATATATGCCAAAAAATACTTACATTTATGCTTGCCCGGGCAGCCATATTGCCGTATGCGGGGAAATTTATCATACCCCTTCATTTGAAGTGAGGTCCCGAAAAATCTTCGTTTGAAGGGCTATCTGGCCCTTTCCCTTAACGCACGAAACAAAGGGGAAGGGGAAAGTGAAGGAGTAAGGGGTGGAATTGGGATTGGGCCTTAATCATATATTTTAATATAAATAATGCTAAAATAACACTGGTTTTATTTTAGTTTTTTCTTTTTTTTTTTTCTTTTAGTTTTCTAGTTTCAGTTTATTCCATTTTTATTTTAGTAGTTTATGTGCTAAATGGTATCATTAAAAAAATAAATGCCGTTAAAATTCTGAGCAATGTCTAATGTTTTTGCTATCCAGTGGCATTTTTATGATTAATGCAGGTGGGTTGTAAAGGTTAAGTTTTATAATATACTGTCTCTAAAATTTATTTGTAGTATTTATAGTTTTGGAGTTATAAAATATTTTTTATTTTCAGTTTTTTCCTAGTTATGTTGGTTTTTATTTCAGTTAACAATAATTTTTCCATTTTCTTTTCAGTTTAGTTTTCAGTAACAAAAACAACACTTATTTATTTTTTCTGGGTAGGTGTGAGAGACTACATCCATGTTGTTGACTTGGCAAAGGGGCACATTGCTGCCGTCAGGAAACTGAAGGACAACTGTGGGTGTAAAGTAAGACAATTTTTCATCTTCTTTAATGTACTCCATTTTTCACATCCTTTTTTTCTGTTTTACATTTCTGCCCTGGTCTCTGTGTAGGTTTATAACCTGGGCACAGGTACAGGCTACTCAGTGCTGCAGATGGTGAATGCCATGGAAAAAGCTTCAGGTCGAAGGCAAAAACAAAAGTGTTGCGTTTATAATTTTCAGTGTATATACATTATACAGTATGTATATATACTGTATGTATGTGTATATGTGTGTGTGTATATATATATATATATATACACACACACACACAAATATTTTATTTAGCCTTTTATGAAATTGCGTTATGATGTTTATACTGGCATAAAAGTTTTTTCGGATTTGATATTCTTTTCAATGCTAGTATTTTTCCTCTGGTCCCAGATTGCCTATCAAATTGCTCCTCGACGAAGTGGGGATGTGGCCTCCTGCTATGCAGATCCAACTCTGGCGGAGAAAGAGCTGGGCTGGAAGGCTGAATACGACCTGGAGAGGATGTGTAAGTGTGAATTGAAATAATTTTAATTCTGCAGTGTGCGTAAGTAGAAAAGAGTGTAATGGGGTGTGAAGTACTGACAGCTCATGATTAATCGAAATGTTTCATCTAATCACACAGGTGAGGATCTATGGCGCTGGCAATCCCAGAATCCCACAGGATTCAGTAACGGAACACAGCCTTGAAACTGGATGAATGCAGAAAGTTTCTTACGGAAAATAAGAGAATTGCACTCATGGCAATAAACATAGCCAAAGTAGGACCATGAAGTCTTTCATTTTTTAATAATTATATGTATAATCATTATATTACAAGAAACTTGAAGAAGCTAAACAAATGATTTTATCACATTCAAAATCTTTCTCTTTTGTTTTCTCTTGTCCTCAAATCGTCATCTCACTTTTATCAAGGTACACTGAATGGCTCATTTCTAATCCAGAATTATATATACTTCCTTGTCAGTATGAAATAAAAAATATTTCAATTGTTTAGAAATAACTTGTCTGCTGTGTTCTTGTTTTATGTATGTCCATGCAGGTTCAACATTTTTACAGTATTTTTTTCAGCATTGCACTGATTGTACATTTAACAAATCAGCATAAAGCTTGTTTTGTTTTTAACCTTTTTTTTTTTTCAACACTCTTATTAGACTCGACTGTATGTAACGAACATCGTGCCCTGTCAAATCAATGGCGCTGTTTCCAATGAGACGAAAGGGTCAACATAAGTGCTGAAAAACATACTAAAATGGGACATTTGTTCATTTTCAAGGCCAGAACCTGTTAATATAAATGTATCGGGCTTGCTGTACGGGGGCGCGTGTGCTTTAAGCGGTTCTCCGGTCCCGGGCGCTCCGGACACCCACGTCAGCAAAACGTTTTTCCAGCACAAACGGGTTTCGGTCTTTCGGGCAAAGCAGGAAGTGAAAGCCGTTCGCCCTGATACCAAAGCTGGAGAAATACATCCAAAGTAGGCAGAGAAATGGAGATGGTTTGTGAAAGTGGTACATGTCGACCGTACAGGAGTTCGGGTGACGCGGGGCATCTGTGAGTATTATGTTTAAGAGATTGGGGAAACGGTGCCCGGGTAAAGAGGGTGGGCGACGGAGACCAGCACGAGGCTCAACGCCGACCTACGGGTCGTCCGAACTCGGGTGATCTGCAACATGAAAAGGCGATGAAGGTGCTCACAAAGCCGGGTGTTTTGCGGTTTAAAATCCAGTCTGGAGCGTTTCTAGCTGAGGTCGGTTTGGTGGGCGGCTCTCCACGGACGACAGGGCTCCCCGTCAGAAACCACCCCACTGTATCTTCTCCCTTATCTGACAGGTTTGATTCGTAATGTAAGAAATTATATGCCTGGTTAATGTTCAAATGTCCTTTTAGATAATCACAGGCGTGTGTGCGCGTTATCTCAGGTATTACTTTCTCCGGCGGGCGTTTTGCACATATAGGACGCAGTGACTTTAATATTATAATTGACTTTTCTAGCGTTTTCTCTGTTGCTACGTTATGTCTTTATGTTAATTGGGTTGGTTATTTGTTTATTTCTATATGTCTTGCACGGTAACCCAGTTTTTGTATTTGTGTGCGCTTGCTGCAAGGGAACCAATGATAAGATATTTTAGCAGCAACAGCGTCGCCAATTTTTCCTTTGTTGTAATATTTTTCATGTTTTAAACACGCGTTTCTCTTCTTCTCTCCATCTTTCTGTATTTATTTATCTTTTTCTCTCTCACTGTTTCTCTCCCTCGTTACCCGATGCGCAAAGTCGGGTGTTGCCCCTTCCACAGCGAATGTACATACTTGACAGATGTGTCATCCAATCAGAGCACAGTGGGCGGAGTTTATCTGCCTCTTCGTGAAATAAAATCGTTGCCATTACATCACACAAAGGCAAAGCACAACACTGGCACTGCACATACAAGCTGCAGGAATAATGTCAAACTGAATCATGAATAACAGTTAATTACTCATTCTTTCATAATATTTCTGTTGTTTGTTTTTTTTTTAAGTTGTCCCACTTCCTTTTTTTCAGGCCTGTTCACAAATGGACCAGTGCTGATATGTCAGCCATTCACCAGAGCTGTTTGCTAAAGCAGCTGGACCAGCAACGACAGCAGGAATTGTTCTGTGACTGCAGTGTGCTGGTGGAGGGTCAGATTTTCCGTGCACACCGTAACGTCCTGTACGGCAGCAGTGGATATTTCAGGATGTTGCTGTCTCAAGGAGCTAAAGACACTCTAGAGTCTGTAAATGCTTCTTTTGATGTCTTCAGCCCTGAGATCTTTGCCATCATCCTGGACTTCATTTACTCTGGTCAGCTGGAGCTCAATAGCTCTAATGTAATAGAAGTGATGTCAGCCGCTAGCTACCTGCAGATGAATGACGTCATTTCCTACTGCAAGGCCTTCATTAAATCTTTCCTTGAGATCAGCACAAAAGAGGACGATGAGAGTCGGTATTTGTGTCTGTCAGACAGCAGTCCACTTCAGGACAGACGTGAGAATGTCATCGAGCCGTCCAACATGTGTGACGAAAGCATGAGCTCTCAGACCAGACTCTGGGATCAACCAGAGGAGGATCAGACACAGGAAGACTTCAGTGGAACAAGCCCACAGCCATCAGGGCTTCAGCAGAACTCTCCTCCACAGTCCAGTCTGGAGGCGCAAATGGAGGAGGAGCAGTTCAGCTCTGTGCTCTCTGAACGCAGAAGAAGAGGAAGCAGGAAAAGGACTGCCAGCATTCGCTTGGTAACAGAAGACACTTCTCTCATTGACCTGCAGGGGGTGGTATCACACTGCTCTCAGAAAGCAGACGAACTGTACGCCAACCTTCCGTCAATTGTTGGGGTAGTTGGGGTGTTTAATAAAGGTGAGCACAAACCTGCAGATATTGTGCATATATATATTGGGGTCAGTAAGTTTTTATTTTATTGTTATTATTTTTTTTGAATACTTATATTTAGCAATGATGCATTTAATTGATCAATAGTGACAGCAAAGATCTTTATGTTGTTACAAAAAAACAATTTCAAATAAATGCTGTTTTTAAACTTTACAACCATTAAAGAATCCTCGAAAAAGTATCAAAGTTTCCACAAAAATAGTAAGCAGCACAAATCTTTTCAACAATGAATTTCCAGAATGTGGGGGAAGAATTATGTGACACTGAAGACTGGAGTAATTGCTGCTGAAAAATTTGCTTTACAGCGTTGCCATCACAGGAAGAAATTAAAAGTTTTCAATTGTAATATTGTACAATAATATTGTTTTCTTGTATTTTGATCAGATAAATTCAGTAAATTCAGCCTTCATGTGTGTGTATATATATATATATATATATATATATATATATGTATATATACACACACATTCATACACATTTGTGCATGAGGATCAGGGAGGAAAACATTAAATAATAATAATAATAAGATTATTATTAATAATAAGATAATTATTAATAAAAAATATATTTTTTAATAATAATAATATTAAATGTTACATTTTTTTTTTCATCCTCCAGCAAGAATTTCTCTGCCTCCACAATAAAAGTGCTTAGACTAGATTTTCTATGTTCATACTGCACAAATCCAAATGGTATTTTGCTATAAAGAGCCATTCAAGGTCTTAAACAACAGCCAAAACTTTTACAGGTTAAAAATGCAAAACATTTCTCCTTTAAGCCTTTTTCTCCTTTTTTTCCCCCACACTTATTCCTACTCGAACTCTCTTTTATAGTATGTTTTTGAACTTTCTAAGTAAACGAGATTTTTAGATTTTAAATAGGCTTTCAAATAGTCATTTGATGTGGTGATGCATGAAAGGGATCTGACAGTAAATGTCTGTCTCTCTCTGTCTCAGATTCCACTCCCTCTATGCGTTACAAATGTCCATTCTGCACGCACACAGTAAAGAGAAAAGCCGACTTGAAGCGTCACCTCCGCTGTCACACAGGTGAGCGTCCTTATCCCTGTCAGGCCTGCAGCAAACGTTTCACTCGCCTGGAACACCTGCGCAGCCATTTTGAGACGGTGAGAAACATTCAGCTTCACACATGTCTTGTAATTAAGAGTGTGATTTTTTTTTCCTAATCCATTCATCACAAATGATGGAAAAGTTTGGAACCATGTAAAGTTAAATACAAGAGCTGTATAATTTCTGTTAATCACAAACTCTGCATCCATCAGACCATTGTTCCCACTGAGGTAAAGATCCATCTGATTGATATGCTCTCAGAAGCAGGACTTCCTGTCATTGAGGCCACAAGTTTTGTTTCACCTAAATGGGTCCCTCAGGTGAGATGCAGCACACACCATCAAAGCCATCAAACATTTAAGTAACAAACTCTCAACATACAATAAAACACTATAAAGAAAGAGAATTATGAGAGATTGGCTGCATTTGATTGACAGATGGCTGATCAAGAGGAAGTGATGTGTGGCCTCCACAAGAAACCTGGTGTGAACTACCCCGTTCTGACCCCTAATCTGAAGGGATTCCAGGCTGCTGTGAGTGAAATACAACACAGACTAGCATGTGCTAGTGCTATACAGAATATGTTTATTTATATACTATGGTCCAAAATTTGGCGTCAGTGAGATATATATATATATAATCTCAGATGAAGGCTGGTGCAAAAGAGGTAGCAATATTTGGTGCTGCATCAGAGCTCTTCAGTCAGAAGAACATAAACTGTTCAGTGGATGAGAGTCTTGTGCGCTTTGAGGAGGTGATGAGAGCAGCCAAACAAGAGGGAGTTCCTGTGAGAGGGTAAGACACCTGCAGATTGCACATTTCAGTCTCTTGGTTATTTTTATTATGGACTTTTTTCCATAACCCAGTGCTCTTATCTCTGAAAAATCCTCTCTTGCTCTGTTTTTTCCAGCTATGTGTCATGTGTGCTGGGTTGTCCATATGAAGGGAAGGTATCACCAAACAAAGTGGCAGAGGTTGCTAAACGACTGTATTCCATGGGCTGCTATGAGATTTCACTTGGTGATACTATCGGAGTGGGCACTCCAGGTGGCATGACAGAGATGTTGGATGCCGTGAAGAAAGAGGTTCCCGTGGAGGCTTTAGCAGTTCACTGTCATGACACTTACGGACAAGCACTTGCTAACATACTTGTAGCATTACAGGTGGGTAAGGAAGTGTGTGGAATAAATGTCCAGTACCTCTCTGCCTGTCTGTCTTGACGTCTATAATTTTGCTATATTCATATTGATTTATTGTCTTTGGAGACCCATTCTTATACTTAAACTTTAATGACACAATTGCCTTGCGTACACACCATGCATTCTGGCCTTTTCATTTTTCACATTCTTAAAATGAGCAACTACTGTTTAAATACAGTAGGGCTGTCAAATTTTTTTTCGAATTTTTAATATTCGTCGAATAAAAAAAAAAAAAATCCACATTCGAATGCAAAAACGTTGCATTCGAATTTAAGGTCTGCATCAGCCGTCAGGCAGCCTTATCAGTGGCGCACGAGATGCGATGACGATGTATGTGTCATTGATTGCATTTGAATGCTTTTATTAACCTATCCAGTTGAAGCCACTAGATGCTGCGCTGCTACGTTGTTCATTCATATATTGCGGAAAACGAGAGCATCAGTGTGCAGAAAATGTTGTTTACGTCAAAACTGAAACCAAGCCGTTCACACAGAACGCATATTTATCACATTTTCTAGAGGGACATATATCAGCATTGCACTCGCAGAGAGCGGCATGTTTAGAAAGCCATGTAAAATTAATGTAAGTTCAACTATTAAAAAAACATGTCTAAACACATTATGGCGGTTTTTCCCCATCCCACTGTATCTCATGTTTTTAAATGAAGAAAGTAGC